TTTACGCCTCCCGCCGGTTTGGCTATGTGCATGTTAGACTATAATATGTAAATCCACACACACACACACACACACACACACACACACACACACACACACACACACACACACACACACACACACACTCACACACACACACACACACCGGTTTCTGTGGTGTAACGGTAAGGCGCTTGGCTGTCCCATACATGAGATCCAAGTTCGAATCTCAAGTGGGGAAGATTTTTCGCGTATCTCTGCCTTTCTGCTGGCGTGTTGTGTTCCTTTCAGTGCGAGTTGCTATCGCAACCAGTGTCGAAAGCCTGCCACTTGAATGATCTAAATTGTTCGGTGGGGGCGTAAAAACACTCTCAGTGTTAAAAAAAAAAATATATATATATACTCTTTTATGGGAGCATCTTTGTTCATATGTAAGAAATGTATTTTTTGGAAATTTACACCGCAGTGTATAAACGGTTACCACAGTATTGAGTGTATTATGGGCTTTTATAAAAACCAAAATATTTAAGCAAATTAATTCAGATAAATATATTCATCTTTATGTGTATTCTGGTGGTGGTTTCGCTTTCGTATTTCATATTTGTCTTTTTTTTTTTTTTCGTTTAGTTGTGTATTTGCAGACTGATTTTCCTTTCTCCAAAGACAGACTATTTACACGTTTGTAATTATACTAATATAACATTATTATTTTTAGATGTGCTGATTTCATTTACTATATTCAAGTTCTTGTCATCTTGTGCTGTAGCTAAAATATTATTTTCTCGCACACGTGAAATGTGTTATCTTTCGGTTGATGCCAATTGCACAACACTGTCATTTCACGGCAATTTCTATTTCGTTACTTTTTTTTCGAATAAAAGATAAAAATTTTGCTTTGAGTCCTGTATTCTCTATTTACTTTTTTTTTAAATAGGTAAAAGGGTTGTTTTGTTTAGTACACTATCTGTCTATCTATCTGTTTATCTATCCATCAGTCTATCTATCTATCTCTCTATCTATCTATCTATCTATCTATCTATCTATCTATCTATCTACCTACCTATCTATCTATCTATCTATTTATCTATCTATCTATCTATCTATCTATCTATCTATCTACCTATCTATCTATCTATCTATCTATCTATCTATCTATCTATCTATCTATCTATCTATCTATCTTTCTGTCTGTCTCTCTATGTATCACCACCTACACAACCATCACCACCACCGCAGCCACCACCAACAATAACAACAGCACGAAAAAGGAATACAACCTCTTTTTTACAACCCGACTATGGAAAAAAACAAAACAATCTTGCCTCTCAATGCAAATAATCAGAATCTTCTGTAATATGTACTGAGCCCACAGCCACTAGAGTTCGCGGCATCACGACACAGTACAGCAAGACTGTCCGCGAGTCACAACTCACCGGAAGTTCCCACTGGTAGCGAGCGGGAGGCACAGTAGCGGTGGGTAGTGAAGGGCTTACGGGCTTGAGCCCCTCACCCCCACCCCGTCCCCACCCCAACTCTATCCCTTAAATAACGAAATAAGCATTTGAAACCGCACACAATGAACACACAGTTATCAGCCTGGCGGCTTGCCCGTTCATCCAATTATTGTTGTCACCGTTTACAACTATAGTAACCTAACAGCCAATCAAATATTGTTAGGGCTCAGAAAGAATAAGCCGGTTCTCACGCCCGTCTTTAATGAAACTCTTCTTGTAAAAAGGTAGAAGGCTTTTAAAAAAATAACACTGCACAGAGGGCTCAAGCTCTCCCAGCCCTGACAATGGGGTGAAAGTTTACGACACACTTTTCCCCAGTGACCCAGATACCTACGCGCCCATTGGGCCTTTGTTAGGCGCGTTCTATTTTCCGCAACAACACGACCCAATCCACCTCATAGACGGTATGTGTTTGGAGTGCTGTGTGTTTGTGCCGCTGAGATTTAACAGTTATTAATTACATCAAACCACTTTTGAGGCAACTTTTTCTTCTGATAAAAACTAATTAGAGAAATTTTGAGGGGAAACGGCTTCGTCCCCACCATCCAGAAGCTTAAATTTAACTAAGAACAAAGAGACGGAAGCCGGAAGACAAAGGTGACTCTTCTCGTTTGAATGATTCTCAAAATGCCGTGGCCCGTCGTGAGTATAGAAAAATCATCAATGTTTTGTTCTTATTGCTTGCTTTTTGGTGGTAAAGAAGTGGAAGAAACCTAAGCCCCACCCAAATCTTGGTCCACCCACCGCCACTGGGGAGGCAAAGCAAAGCACAAGCCTGCTCGCAAGCCTCTGGCGCAAGCCGTCCGCTGCTCGCAAGCCTTCGATTAATCGAGCAGACTTCAGCTCTACTTTCAGGGCAAACCCACGCTGAGAGGGATACACTATCCCTGAGGACAGACAGAGACCATCGATAAAAATACGGGAATCAGACTAACGTTGCCGGTGTGCAACGGTGAAGCACCTGGCAACTACGTACACCACAGACAGTGGTACCAGAGATCTGACAATGTAAACGAGACAGTACAGCTTGCGGCGCTGTCCCTGACAACCAGGGCTAGGCGCAGCGTAAGTGAAGAGAGCTGCTCTTTTTAGAGCCAGCGCCGGGAAAACATACTCGCGTCAGTGAAAATTGAATACACGTGAGAACACACTTGTACGTTTCTTTGATTTCACACACGTTTGCAAAATGCAAAACGTCTGGTTTTTTAAGCTCTATTTTGAGTGACAATTATTATCTCAGGCGACTATAAACATAAATGAAATATAAATATGTCAGATGATGCAGAGTTCATTTCGCTCAAAAGTGGCATGGTGCATGAGTGGGTAGTGTAGGGCTTTAAAACAATGATTTGGTCCATACATTTTCAAGTTTTTTTTGGACGCCACTGTATATGAATAACAGGGTTTAGGTCCCAAACTTATGCGCTGCTTAGTAGCAACCAGGCTTGTACATTGTTAACATGTGTTGTTACCCATCACTGTCCACCCAAAGGAAAGTTTCCCCTCAGAACAACGAAATACTACCTCAACTTATCTATTTGTTCTTAATCTTAAAATAAAATAAAAGTTTGGTCAAAGTTTGTGACTCGCCTTTTCAACTTTTACCGAACAGCACCATTGCAGTCACAAACAGCAGGAGAGGAATTGAACCTGGATTTGGTATTGCGCCGCACTGATGCAGAACGGAAGCAGGTTGGGCGCCATCAAGATTTCTCCATTTAAAAAAAAATATTTTTGAGGTAATGGTATTTTGGGAACCTTCGGAATTTGGCAGCATTTAGAATTTGATCCGCCTTTTTTCATATTTAGTGGATGGATCAAGGCGTCAGTTAACAGATAATAGTGTGTGTTCCTGTAAAATATAACGGGTCTCGACAGGGGCGAAGGCTGACTTGTTTGACAGGGTAATCAAAATGAGATGGGACCAGATAGGGCCTGGAGATATCACACTCACACAAGTCACAAGAATCTTACTAGCACTGGAGGCGGCAACTCTGAGTTGTGAATGAAAACAAATCCTGAATTCATGTCGTATTCATATTCAACCGCTAAAATAATCGGGAAAGTATTTCATTAAATATTTATTCTGACTAACCTTAAATTCAACTTTAGATTTGAATACACGAACACCAAGGAAAGAAGCAGAGATGTCAGTACTACAACGGCATGTTATACCAGACAGTCGAAACACTTTGGTAGAGCATGCCAATTATTAATTTTTTATTTCACATTTGGCTGTTGTTGTTTTTTGTCTAGCTTTTCGCGGCCAGGAGCCGGTTTCAAAATCGAGGTCACGATCTGATTATAGGACGTTAAAAAGTCGAGGGGAAAAAAAACAAGCACTCGCAGCAGTCAAGATATTATTAGGAGTTAGTTCCCCTCACATCTGTGAGGTAGACTCGACCAGAGTAATAGTTAGCTTACATAATCAGCGAGTGTGGCTGCTTATATCTGTGGCTCGAAAGGGGTGAACAGGGTATATGCGGCAATGAAACAGTTTTTGACTGCTATGCACATGTTCCCTTCAACTCTATTGGTAGACTCTTCCAGCCTCACTTTAAGCTTACTTAATCAAAGCTTGTGACTGCTTATGGAGTGGCCTGATAGGGGCGAACAGGCTATTTCTGTGGCAATGAAACGGTTTTGAAGGTTAGGCATAGTCTATTGTTCTTTGGTGATTATGAACGTCTTTTTACATTTAATTAATGAGGTTTACGTCTATGGGTGAATTTGACTGCGACAATGTTTCAAAATTAGGAAGGGAAGCAGTGGTTATTTGATTATATAGACGCTTCGCCTCTGGGTCTCGACCCTTTAAGTATCATACTTAATCAGAATAGGGTTTTTGAAAAAAGATCAAACAGTTACTGGTTTCCGGATAAAAAGGTAGACTATTGACATTGTATTTGGTACAAAATGTGGGCTTATCTTGTAGGTAAAACGACCTTTTCCATAC